CATAAGCGCACCAACGTGCCTACCGTCCCTGTCCTATTGTTTCTCTTATTCTTCTTTTATTTTTCTTATATGTACCCATTTCATGTATTCACAACTATGTATACACTTATACTTATTATCTTGTAAACAATTGGCAAATCAAATAAATAAATAAAATAAATAAATATTTAATTGCTTTCTGATATAGTTAAATAAAGATAGAACCAATCAGATATTAAAGTACTGTATTAAACATTGACCTTTAAACCACATACATGGACCCACACACATGCATTTCTCTTTTCGTCCTTGATTTTGCTGTTCAGGGGTGCACAGATGGGTGGCAAGGCACTCCGTGAGCACAGAGGGGCTGGGGGAAGATGTGCAAGGATCTGTGGTGGCCAGTGAGGCATGACCCCAGTAAAGTGGGGGTGGCTGGCTGACAAGGCATGGGCTGAGTGCAGTGGGACTGATGGAAAATGTAGGATGGTGTGTGAGTGGTTGTGAGGTACAGGCCGAATGCAGTAGGGATGGAGGAGTGTGTGTGAGGTCTACAAGTCGCTGTTGAGGCATGATGGGTCTGGCTGCTGTCGTGTGGGAAGGCTGCACAAGGGTGCAAAAAGCCTCAGATTCTTGCAATGCAGCAAGAAGCCCAAAGCCATAGCATCTCCCCATGTGTAGCCGGGATGGTAAACTCAGCAGAGGGAAGGCAGGCAGGGGCAATGAAGGTCATATCGGGGGAGGAGGGGTGTGCAGGGTTGGTAGTTGTAAATGCAGACTGGGTCAAATTTTTATTACATGACCGCAGAGGTCCTGCAATGGTTGTAAGTTCAAGGACTGGCCACAAGTCCATTTTTTCAGCACAATCGTAACTTTAAACAAACACTGAACAAATGGATGTTAAGAGAGAACTACCTACCCTGTTTCTCCAACAATATGGCCTCCCCCAATAGGAAGTCCCAGCATGTTTTATAGGCATGAAATGAAATTAAGCCCCTCCCCCCAAATTAAGGCCTATATTAAAACATGAAGTGGGGGGGAATGGTGGGGGGGGGCTTGCCATTAGGAAGTACTTTTGTTGCACACCCGGATATGGTGCTGCCTGCGTTGACCCCGATACGAAGTGCCCCACCAACGCCGAGGTCAACATTCAAGCCGTCGCCGCCCACCCGCCCGAAGATGCAAGGGGGGGGGAATTAAGTCACCCCCGAAAAGACAGCCTAGCCATTTTTTCGGGGCTCAAAAAAAAAATAAGACCCAGCCTTATTATATGAGAAACACGGTATGTATTACTAGATTCTTAGAGAACTGACTTGCTGTAAGGTATTTGTATACGATCCACTGTGACTTGCTGTAAAGATTTATATTTTCAGATGGTGAGTTGCATGGTTCACGAACACTTATTAGTATAGCAATAGGTAAAAATAAAATCTATCCCCCTGGTTCATTAGTTGAGTTACATGTGGCCAATAGTGTAACTCATTCTGACTTTAATTATAGTGTACCTTTTCATGGTTAGACTTACTGTAAATACTTTACTGGGTAAAAAATTGCTTTGCATCTGGTCTCCTCACAGTTCAGATGTTGCTATTTTTAGTCCCATGCTACTCTTTGGATGAATTTAGAATTCATAGACAAAAAATAATGCAATAATTACTAAAGGAAAGCCTCCAGTAACAAGCTGTGAAAGTCAGTGATGTGATTTTCACATGTACATCCATTCCAGGTAGCTGGTCCATTTTGCGGTTTTAACATGGTTTGATATACATTAAGGGAATTAATATTTCAAAGATGTTTGAAAAGTAAATGATAAAGGAGTCTCAACAGTCATTAATGTAATTAATAATCAGTGGTTATTTACCATTGAATGGATTGATCTTCTTAGCAATTCGTGAAATGATGGATTCCTTGAGTTCTCTCTTTTTCACACACTGAATGCCCAGGTTCTGAAAACTACAGCAAATACATTTGAGAATTAGATGTTTAAAATAAATATAACAATGATACAACTACAGGGACTCTACCATATTGGTAACAAAATAAATTGTGGAAATTTTAATTCTAACAAATACTTTACATTAAGAAGATTTGATGAGATCCTTCATAAAAGACTAAAATAAATGTCATCATTGTAATTTGCCTGTTATTAACCATTTTCAAATATTTAAATGCAACACAAAGAGAGACACATTATTTTCTTTTTTAAAATAAGTGACAAAGAACAAGAAGAGAAGCAGCCATAACAAGAACTATACCACATTATATCAAAGGTCCATCTAGTTAGGGATGGGAAAGTAATCATCTGTTTGGGATAAAAATCAGCAAAAGCCCTCAAAAAGCATTTGAGAGTAGAATGTCTCACTCCAATTATTTATTTATATAGCCACCCATCACACAAGAAGTGAATCTGGGCAGTCTGTAATTAAGATATAAAATAATAAGCATATCAAACATAGTTGTATTAAATACACACACAGAGAGACACACACATGCAATTCAATCACCAAGGGAGCTACCTCAAAATCTCATCAGTCCCCTAAACCCCATATCTTGAGGAACTGGAATATAAGGAGGGAAGGAGCTGACTTCTGGAGGGAAGAGGGGTTGGAATGGAGAGAACGTTCCATTAAGCAGATGCCACGGAGACACGCCTCCTTGGGTTTCCTGAACAGATGGGACAGGAATAATAATCAGGAAGAGGTGATCCCTCAGATAACATAGCCTCAATCCATGAAGGGTTTAAAGATCAAACTCAGCAACCACAAATTAGCCTGATTCTCTGGAAGCATCAGATGGGCTGCGAAGAGGAGCAAAGCTGAGGTGTGTTGCATAAAATCAAATGCCCATGTGTCCTTATGTGAATATTGGATTCTAATCTCCATCAGGCTGTTAAAGTTCTTTAGAAAGACTTGAGGTATAAGATGAAACTGGCATTTAGCAGCGTATCATCTACTTAATGAAAAAGCATGCTTTGCTTCTCCTTTCTACTGCGTTTTGTTCAAAATCCAAATAAAGACATGTAGTTCTTGTTTAGTGACCACAATTAGAACTGACAATTTGGTTGATAAGTGAAATTATGATTGTGCTTATGATCTTACTTCATTCTTTTTTTGCTTTACAGACCTGTGAAGATCATAAATGTGAGAATTATCACTGTGAATGGTAATTAAACAAGACAGTTACTAAACAAGGACTATCTGTAATTTCTTTTGCTGCTTAGGATAGTAAAGGCTGAATGACCGCTGCCATCATTTCAAGTAATTTGTATTTTCTGTCAGGGACAATGTGAATTGTAAAATAATTCCCACCATTTTAAGTGGAAGAAGGCACAAAAGTATTGGTACATTACAAATAACTCATTCAATTTCTGAAAGCAATAAGTGAGGGGAAACAGATTTCTCCCATTCATAAAGCATCTGCTTCACCGATCCCTTTCCAGGACCACCCCTTCTACAATATGACTCATGTACAGAAAGTAAAAGACCAATTGCCAGCGAGAATATTAAAAATATCTGAATCATAATGCAGCAACTGACTGGGTTTAGGCATTTCCACAACTTAGCTTCCTGGGTGGAGTTATTTTACCTCATTACCTCATTCTGTCAGTTCTTTGGCTGGTGTTGGCCTGAAGTTATGACCATCACACCACCCCAATTGTCATGTGATCAAAATTTGGTGCTTAGCAACCAGCTCACATTTATAACAGTTGCAGTGTCTTGCAGTCATATGAACATAATTTGTGACCATTTGACTTCCAACAAGCAAAAATATTGTAAAATGCAGATTAGAAATACAAGTCAAAATAAGCAAGAAAATGGGAAGAGAACACCTAACTGTTCTAGATGAGTTCAAAATACCAGGACCAGATGGTTTACACCACAAGGAATTGCCAGATATGATCTAGAAATATTGAACCATATTTTTCAAAGATCCTGGAGCGCTGGGGAACTACCAGATGATTGGAAAAGAGCTAGTGTAGTTTCCAACTTCAAAAAAAGCTGGGGGGGAAATGGATCCAGGAAACTGCAGGCCTATCAGCCTGACATTAATACCTGGGAAGATTCTGGAAAAAATAATCAAGCAACAAATCTGTGAACACATAAAGACAAACGAAGTCATAACCAGAAGGCAACATGGGTTTGTCAAAAACAGATCACGTCAGACAAATCTTATTGCAATATTTGACAATGTGACAAAATTAGCAGACCAGAGAAATGCTGTGGATATAATTTATTTTGGCGTCAGTAAAGCATTTGATAAAGTAGACCACAACCTTACTACTTGATAAGGTAGAAAAATATGGATTAGACAGCACCACCACCACATGGATTTGTAATTGGCTGACCAACTGTACTAAATGTGTAGTTCTTATTGAAACTGCATCTACATGGAGGGAAGTATGCACGGGGGTACCTCAAAGCTCTGTCTTAGATCCAGTACTCTTCAATATCTTCATTAATAATTTTGCAAGGGGATAGAAGGGGAATTTATCAAGTTTGTAGATGAAATCAAGCTGGCAGGAACAGCCAACACTCTAGAAGACAGGCTCAAGATACAGAAGGATCTTGACAGACTTGAATACTGGGCCCTATCTAATGAAATGAAATTCAATGGTGAGAAAAGTAAGGGTCTACATTTAGGCAAGAAAAACCAAATACACAAGTATAGAATAGGTGGTATCTGGCTCAATAGTAATAACTGCGATTTAAAAGGACAATCGGTTAAATATTAGCCAGCAGTGTGCTGTAGCTGTCAAAAAAGTCAACACAGCCCTAGGCTGCATTAATCAAGGGATATAATCGAGATTATGTGAAATATTAGTACCATTTTATAATGCCCTGGTAAGGCTATGTGGCTGTGAAAGTTGGACCATAAGAAAGGCTGAGCACCAAAGAATTGAGACCTTTGAACAATGGTGCTGGAGAAGACTTTTGCAAGTCCCTTAGACTGCAAGGAGATCAAACCGGTCAGTCCTAGAGGAGATCAACCCTGACTGCTCTTTAGAAGGCCAGGTCCTGAAGATGAAACTCAAATACTTTGGCCACTTAATGAGAAGGAAGGACCCACTGAAGAAGAACCTAATGCTGGGAAAGATTGAGAGCAATAGAAGAAGGGGACGATAGAGAATGAGGTGGGTGGATGAAATCACTGAAACAGTAGACGTGAGCTTAAATGGATTCCAGAAGATGGTAGAGGACAGGAAGGCCTGGAGGAACGTTGTCCATGGGGTTTGCGATGGGTCGGACATGACTTCGCAACTAACAACAACAAAGACCACTCTTAGAATATTTCATCCACTTTGGGATGAAGCAGTGCAGAGATGAGTTACAAAGATGCTTAGAAGTTAGAAGACTGGAGACTAAAGCATAGGAAGAATGATTGCAGGAATTGGATATGTCTAGTTTAATGAAGGACTAGGGATGACATGATAGCAGTGTTCCAATATCTCAGGGACTGCCACAAAAAAGAAGGGGTCAATCTATTCTCCAAAGCACCTGAAGGCAAAACAAGAAGCAATGGATGGAAACTAATCAAGGAGAGAAGCAATGTAGAACTAACAAGAAATATCCTGACAGAACAATTAATCAGTGGAACGACTTGCTTCCAGAAGTTGTGGGTGCTCCAACACTGGAGGTTTTTAAGAAGAAATTGGACAACCATTTGTCTAAAATAGTATACAGTTTCCTGTTGAGCAGGAAGTTGGACTAGAACAGGGGTGTCAAACATGCCACTCGTTTATTACGTATATCACCAGAAAATTATAACAAAGGGACTACATATTTAATAATACATGTGTTGACAGCAGCGAGAATTGTATTTGCACAACATTGGAAAAATGACGACATACCTACAGTGAAAATATAATTAGAAAAATTTTAGACTGTGTGGAGATGGATAGATTGACATAAACAATAAAAGATAAGGAAGAAACAATATTTTGCAACATAGGATATGTTTTATCAATGGTTGGATACAAGGGGTAGAAATTAGAAAATGAATGATTACTGATATATATATATATATATATGCAAATGATGTAAGAATTCTACTAAAATAAGTAAATATTAATTTTCTAATTATGGTTGTTATTATTACTATTACTTTTATTACTAGTTTATTAATACTTTGTATAAACAAATTGATCCAGGCACATGTATTTTAAAGAATGTATATATATATATATTACTATATACATGTATTTTAAAAAAAACACGCAGCTTGCGGGCCGGATATGGCCCGTGCAGGCCATGCCCACCCCAGCCCCACAAGGGCAAAAACAAGTCCAATACGGCCCGCAATGCAATCGGGTTTGACATCCCTGGACTAGAAGATCTCCAAGGTTCTTTTCAACTCTGGTTTTCTGTTAATCTAGGAAGCCAGATTTGTTTAATAACCACATAATTCATTTAATGGCCATATGATTTGCTTAACAATCACAATAAAAATAGTTGTAAAATTGATCCAGTCATGTTTAGCAACTGCATTGCTTAGCAACTGAAATTCTGGTTTCAGTTGTTCTAGGCTGAGAACTGCCTATAGAACTGGTCTGGGCATCATGGAAATCAACAAGAGTAATGGGTCCCAGATTTTTTATGTATTATATAAGTTAGCAGATTTTATTAGCAGATTTTTAGGTTGTGGTATAATGAACCATTTGGGCTAACTTGAGAATGCAAACAGACAGACAAATATAATGAGAGTTTTAGTAGTATATAGATTTCATACTGAAAAAAAAAATACTTTTGGGGGGTCCTTGAAGAAGATTAATATGTAATTTAAGCAGAACTGGATACTGGTTTGAAAATAGAGATGCCAAGTGTTTAAAGACAGCTTGACTAATTAAATATTAAATACTAAAATATTAAATACTAACTTATACTAACATAACACCACAAAATACACATTTTACCAATATCAAAAAACAAAAGAACAAATGGATAATCAAATTAGGA